TATTACTATTATTATTATTATTATTATTATTATTATTATTATTATTATTATTATTATTATTATTATTATTATTATTAAAATTTAAATTACGTTTTCTAATATGACGAGTATTATTATTAATTCCATATACATCATCTTTATATTTGTCATAATAATCTTCAAAACGATGATTATAATAATGCGTATTATTATTATCATTATTTTCATAATAATTAACTGTATCAGAGTAAAGTCCTTTTTCATTATTACTATTATTATCATTATGATAGTGATAAAGATAATGTCTGTTGTGTTCGTATCTCATTCTCTCATCATTTCTTGAATAAGTTTTATTGTTATTATTATAATATGAATTAGATTCAAATTGTTGTTGCTCGGCTTCTCTTTTACCACTATTGCCATCGCCACCACCATAAACATCATAACAATGAAAATTTCTTGAATCTACTTTAAATTTGTAATGTTGTGGTCGGTAGGGTTGTTGTTGATGGTGTTGCTGTTGATATCTGTTTTGAATATTTCGTTGACGACATTGTTGTTGATAGGGTTTTTGATAGGGTTGGCGATTTTGTAATTCTAAATTATCATTATTATAAATACCATTGTCGTTCTCATTGTTGTGTTTATTATTATTATTATATTTTCTTGATTTTGAATTGTTTTGTGATTCATTACCATAATAATAATAATTATTATGATTCATCTTTTAAAATCTTTAAAATAAAAAATAATAATGAAGTTGTATAAATATTTTTATCTATCAATTTTGTACAATTTCCAATTTTTTACACAATGACAATTAATTCTTAATATAGTGAATAGTTAAAATAGACGAGAACTATTACCAGGGGGATATTTTTAATACGTTAATATTAATTGTATAACTATGTGTAATAGCTGCTGGCTGAATTATCCAAAATAAAATATGCCATGACTATAAAGCTTTATTTATTCATAACTAGAGCTATCAATTGGTTTAATTGAAAATACTCTGAAAAGTCCAATTCGGTGGTAAAATTAGAATAATTATTGATAATGTGGTTTTCAAACTTTATTTCACTAAAAAATTTTTGTCTTCTTTCGTCACGTGGCGCAGCAATAGGAGTTTTTAAACCGGGCCAACCATAAAGTGGGGTTTTCCATAAGATTGAAATGTTGATATTGTGCAAGAAGAAAGCAATATTTTTTGATATTCTTTCTATAAGTAAATTTGCTGCAAAAAATGGAAGAATGAGAGCAAATGAATCGATATCAATATACATGAATATGCAGTATTATATTTATAATTCAAGAATTTCAGAACTGCCATTTGTTATTTTTGGTGCATCAATATTACTCAACTCCTCATTCCACTTTATCACCCACCCTTCTCAAGAACCTATATACTATACAATCTATCAACACCCATCTATATATTAGGCTGGGGGCCTAGAACAATGTAGTGAGGTCTACAGTTCACAGGATAGACAATTATAAAGATGGGCAATCATATTTTTTTAACTTTATTTATATGGGCTATTTGGGCCATTTTTTCACTTTACACAAACACATACGTATAAACAAACACAAACACTTTTTTAAAAAAACTTTGTTTTTATTTATAAATATTTATAATTATAACAATAAAATAATAATTTAATTTTTATAAAAATGCTAATTAAAATTTTTAAAATGCACCAGCAAACTTGTTAATGCAAGTTCACTGGACACAAAAATGCTGTGCATTATTCAAATAATTTACCTCTGTCAGTGCTCCCAGCATATGCTGAAGAACCCTGGGCTGTGAATTATGAGATAAGCACAAAGTACAAACGTACATGCATATACATTTGCATTTAGCTAAACTACAAAATATCTACTATTACTATATCTCTAAAGCTTCATTTTGCTTCATTTTGCTTCATATGCTTCATATACTTCATTTTGCTTCATATGTTTCATATGCTTGCTTCAGATTGCTTCAAGCCAGACAGCATTTGGTACTGGCCATTTGTCAACCTAAATGGTGCATAAATAGTTAGAATTTATTACACAACATTTAATTGCCTCATGAATATTCAAATTTAAATTTTTTTTAAGAATACAAAATAAACTTTACAGGGCTGGGATTCGTACACGTACACATGCACGTATCGTACACGTACGTACGTACGTATGAGCTTAATTTTTTTAGTACATTGTACGAACATATCATGTGATTTTTGATAATTTTTATTGGTTGATAAAATGGAAGATATATTAATATATATATGTTAAATTCGTCACAGCGAACTATAATAATAATCAAACTCTTGTCATAACAGATTTTTAAAAAAAAATTCTTTGCATATCACATGTAAAAACATATAAAATTTCGTTGTGACAAGATTAGTATTAGTATTTAGTAATCTTGCCACAACGGATTTTAAATAAAATTTGTTTCATCCGCTGTAGCAAGGTTTGACTATATTGTGGAATTAACTACATACTGTACAGTATATGATTGAAGATATTTAATACTACTATACTAATAATACTAATAATAATAATGCCACAGGATAATAGAAGTATAATATGATAATCAGGGTTTTTCTGATAACGAAGTAGTATCACGATATGTTACGACCTTTAATTATAGTAATCGTAATAAATAGGGCTGATGGCATAATATTATTGTTATTATTATAGGACTTTACAAAATAATATTTATCGCCACAGAAAATCACCGTACGTTCGTACAGCGAAATTGCACAACACTGACAATAATAATAACGTATATAATACTACTACATAGTAACAAGGGATTTAAATAAGTATATATAACATGATAATCAGGTTTTTTCTGATAATGAAATAATATTACGACCCCAGTTACAACATCTGGCAACCCATTAATTATAGTAATAGGATTATCGGCTTAATAATAATATTATTATAAGATTTTACAAAGTAATATTTTGTCACCGCAAAAAATCATCGTTCCTGATACATATTAATATGTAAAATTTCCTCGTACAGGTGTACGACCACAACAAAACTGTACGAACTCAATGGTACGAAGTCAGTCGTACAACGAAAATTGCACAACCCTGAAATAAACAACTGCAATAAGTTTAAACAATGATCTATGTTTGATTTGATTGATAATCATAATAGGAAAAAATATTTCTTTGATAAATGAAAGTTACTATTTCAATTTCTTAGTAAAAGTCCAGGAAAATTATCCCAAAAGTAGAAATTTTTTTTTCTATTTTACACATAATTACACGATTTATTTATTGTATGTAATTTTTTTGTCTATTTAAAACGTAGCTTTACATATATGAATTCATTTTAAAATTATAAGTTACATAGGATCGTCGCATTGTAACAATCGATCGATCGATTACAGTGTAAGTATATAGGAAATTGAGTGCGAGTTTGTGTTACATAATAAACGCGCACATTATATTAACACTAAAAAATCTTTTATTAATAATATAGTAGATATAAAAATAACTTGTTGCATGGAAAAAACTTAATAAATTATAAATTATTGGCTACCTTTAATGTAACACAAATCTCGCACTCAATTTCCTCCCACACTGCCATATTATAAAAAGTCATTCTGTAAATATCTAAATTGATCTTAAAGTTGAAAACTAAAGAAAATAGGTTAAAATATATAAATAATATATATATATATTTGTTATAAAAAAAGTACATCCATTATGCTGCCAACGATAGATTGTTATCTGATTGAGCCAATTTTTTTTGTAAAGAGTCAAGTCTTTTATTGATTGATTTAATAACTATTGATTTTTTTAATATTTTAAGATGAAATTAATTTAATTTGAAAAATCAAAATTCAAAAAAAAAAAGGGTAAAAAAAATTTACATTTATTTATCACTTTTTTATCATCGTCTCCCATTCCTACTTCATCAGGGGAACCTTCTAATATAGCATTTAACATATGAATAGATGTTTTATATGCCTTTTCACATCCTAACAAATCTTCATTAATCAATTCATTGACAGCTGCATGACGACTCTATTCAAAAAAATCATTTAGTATTTTTTTATAATAATTTATAACAATAATAGTAATAAAAATATTAATTTTAAATCTTGATTTACCATTTCTAATGCTTTATCATAAAGCAACTTCTCTACAACAACCTCGGTCGTCATTTCTCCATTTGCGAGGAATCTAGATTCTGCATACTCAGCCTTTTCCAAACATTCATTGAATCTTGCACGAACCCATTGCACAGCTAAAATTATAATTACATATATATATATTCATAAAATTATTTTTGAAATCTAATTATTAAATATTTATAAATAAACATTAAAAAGATAATAATAATACCGGTATTTAATTTAGGATGTGCATTTTTTTTAAATAAATCTTCTTTTTCATTTGATTTTGATAAATAATCTTTTGCACAAACAATTGCTGCTTGTAATATTGAAAGTGCTTTAACATATAGAACAAATGCTTCTTCAGCTAAAGTAATAGCAGCTTGAGGCGTGGGTGGTGAATTATATGCTAATTCATTACTGCTAGTAGGTGGTGGTGGTAAGAGTTGATTAATTTTTGAATCAGCAAATTGATGAACAAAATGTGCCTTTTGAGCATACTCCTCTATTGCTTTAATTACTGCTTCCTAATAAAAAATAATTAAAGATAATTGATGAAGATAGGTTATCATTTAAGAAGCATAATAATAACTAATAGTTTTATTTATTTTTCCTTACTTCCTCGGGATCAAGTATAACGTCATTTGTAAGTAAAGCAGAATTGCCTTTTTGTTTTGAATATTTATCACTCCAAGATGGCGGTGAATTACCAGTACCAAATAAACGAACTGATGCAACATTTAAAGCTCTAGCAAGAGCCGAAGATGCACTACTACCTATACTTCCAACAGGGCTACTTTTGTCTTGACTGGATTGTGGTATAGCAAAAGGTGGTGTTGTCGAATAAAAGAAAGAATTTTGATTTGGTGAAGTCTTATATGGAAAATCAAGGGGTTTTGAGGGCAAGGCATCTGAAAACGCAAAGGCTGTACCTTTATGAAAAGGTCGCTGTGAACTTCCATTCGATTTGGGTATTACAGCAAGATCTAAAAAATAAAAATTTTTTTTTTCATTAGCTTAAACAAACATATTATAATATTAATGTAATACTATCACTATATTAATTACTATTTAGTTACAAACATACCATCAGCCAATTTATTAACCTCGACTGCACGTTTCTCAATCAAAACATATTCCCTCGCAAATTGAACATCATCTTCGGCACTATTTGATCTATTTGAATGTTCAAAGTTTTCAGCATCAGTGTTTTGCCTTTTTACAAGTTCATCCTGTGGGTAAGGTGTTTGCACTAATAATGAAGGTGATGGAGATCGATTATCATAGGAAGGCTGAACTTCGTTGTTGACTTGAAGAAATTCATTATTATTGTTGTTGTTGTCCTTTGATCGTTCAAACATTTTATCTATGTTTGGGGATTTAGGTGACCTTTTTATATTAAAAAAACAATATATGGGAAGTTTAATTAATGATGATAATGATAATGATTTAGAAATTAATTATAACAACTTGAAAATTTTTATTTTTACCTTTGTAAAATTTGTTGATATTTAGCATTATTACTGTTATCTTTAAACGAGTTCTTTTGTGATTGGTTTGATGCGTAGTAATTGTTTGTTGATGGTGTATTTGTGATCCTATTAGGTTTCAAATTATCGCCTGGTTTCTCTTTTGGATCAAATGAATTTGTCAATGGTTGAGGTATTAAATCACCTACAACACAAGGGTGCATAAAAAATTCTTCAAAAGAAATACGTTCTACAGGATTACGTTTCAACAAATGTCTTATTAAATCTTTAAGTTCTTCACTAATTAGAGAAGTCGAATTAGTAGGTGAGGTGGCAGGCAAATTGTCATCGTGAGTATTTGCTGAATGGATCGCCACTCCAGGATTTTTACTAGGAAACTTTATTTTATCGCCACCTTTTTCGATTCTTTTCAATAACTCAACATGATTTTGAGCTCTAAACGGCGGTTTGCCAACACTTATTTCATAAATTACAGCCCCTACACTCCACAAATCTGCTTTTGCGTCATATTTTTCATATCTTAATATTTCTGGTGCCATATAAAGTGGTGAGCCACATAATGTCTCTGCTAAAGATGAAGACGGCAATGAACGCGCAAATCCAAAATCTGCTATCTTTAAAATTGGCAAATCCGGTGACCCGACAACAGATCCGAAATTTTTCTGTTTAGGTTCTACCAATAAAAGATTCTACTCAAAGCAAAAAGAAAAAAGAAATTCATTTTAATAAGTCTAAACTTATATTATTAAATAATTATTATTATATATATATATATACATATATATACCTGAGGTTTTATATCACGATGTATTAAATTTTGTGATCGTAAGAATTCCAATGCATTCGCTAAAAGAAAATTATAATACTTTGTTTTTAAAAAATGATTAAAGTTTTTTTTTACAACATTAAATTATACATTTTTTTAACTTAAAAAGAGAATTAATTTATATTCTCTTTGTACCTAATTGTTTTAAAAAATGACGGACAACATATTCACTTAGCCCAACAGATGGACCCTTTGATGATGAGTGGTTATTTGCTCCTCTTTGCTTTATATATTGCGATAAATCACCCATAGTACAATATTCCATAATTAAATGTATGTGGCTCTCAGATTTCTAATTTATAAAAATAAATAACTTGAGATATATATATTTATAACTTTTATTTATATAAAAAAATTAAATGACTTACTTCACAATCAACTAATTGAACTATGTGATCATGGTGAATTCGTTTGAGAATTTTTATTTCTGATTCTAAGTTTTCAAGTAATTTTTTTGTCAATTTTGATCTTGATACAGATTTAATTGCTACATTTTCTTTCGTTTTCTGTGTATATTAAAAAAAATGTAAATAAAAGGAAAAATTTGTAACTAAGGTGACACGTGAAACTTTATAAAGATATATATTTATATATAAATAAAAGAAAAAGTAATTTACTAAAGTATATTATATGAATAGAAATATATTTATATATTTTATATATAATTTGTTTTTGTAAAGTGTTTTTTAAAAGTAAATTAAGAGAATAAATTTTAAATTAACAATTCTTGTTTTCCTACCTTATGATACCCCTTATAAACTGTTGCAAAAGATCCTCTCCCAATTTCGTTGCCAACTATATAGTTTCCTACACTTTGTTGATGGGATCTATTTACAGTAGTCATTTTTAAATTTACAACCTTTTTATTTTTAAATCAGAATAAATAGCAGTATATAAATAATATATGTTATATCAAATAATGAGTAGGTAATGTGTAGTGATAATTTTAAATAAAAAAAATTTGCTTGAATTTTTTGAATTGATAATAATTAATGATAATAGTGATTGGGGACTTTGAAGAAAAAAAAAGAAGACTAATTAATAATAACCTTGGCTAACAAAACTCGAATTTATCAAAATGAAAAAATGAAAAATGTAGTTTCTAAATACGCACGCACAAACCAATGTATGTAAACAAAGGTCACGAGGTAATACTTTAAAAATAATGTGCACGATATTAAATATAATGATCAAATTTTTTTCGATTATCAAATTTGAAAAAAAAAATGTTTAGAAATATTCAAAGAAGAATTTTTGATCAGAGAGCTTTGATAGCTCGTAATTTTTCTTCTAATTACATAACCAAATCATCTAATATTCCTTCTTTAATTATGAACAATAATAATCATCATAATAAAATTATTTCAATGGTTATAATGGTATGTAAAAGAGAGAAATTTTTATGGGTTTTATTAAATTGGTTTTATTATACGTCATTCATTCGTCCATCCATTTACTAATTCTTTGATCAAAAAAAAACCAAAGAATAAAATGATTAGAAGGAACAGATTTGGTGATAGTTATGATGATAGAGGAACTCCGCGTTATCCTGAGAAACGCCCAGGTGATTGGGTTTGTGATGTTTGTAAATATCAAAACTTTTCTTATCGAAGTGATTGTCGTCAATGTGGAAATAGACCTGTCAAACGTGATGTAGCAGAGGGAGATTGGTTATGTCCAAAATGCGATTTTTATAATTTCCAAAGTCGATCAAATTGTTTCAAATGTTCAACACCAGCACCATCATCACTATCGTCATCTGAAAATTAAATACTCACCAACAAAACATATTTTAGATAGTAAATAACAAATTTTTGTAAAAAGTTGGTAATCATTTTCTCTGTTTTCTATTAAATCTTTATTCATTTATTTAGAAATATAATTATTTTATTTTTTACCAATGTTACAAGAAGAAAATATTCATTATTAAATAAATAAATAAAACTATATATACACATTCTAATAAATAAATGAATGAATTTGAATAATCAAAAAATATAAATATTTATTAAATCACACCAACGGAAATTACCCACAAAAATTTTAACCAGTGAATAGCCTAAAGAGCAAATATGTACAACTTCCCATAAATCTAAAAGCTGCCAATCCAGCAACTGACCAAAGCACAAATGCCATATAACTGTTTGCTCTGTCTGTTGAAGTAGAAATTGAATTTAAAGTGGTACTAGCATTTGTAATACCTGCAACCAAAGCACCATTGGATAGGATCCAAAGCAATACAACGCGTGTACGGAAAGATTTATAATAATCCTCTTGCTTGTCTGAAGCTGACCGTTTTTTAACCGGTTCCTCATGATGACGTTGTAATTCTTCAACCGCTTCTTGATATAATGAATTTATGTCTTTTGCTTCAACAGGGACTTCAACCTCGACTGTATTATTATCTGGAGTTGTTGTTACAGAACCTAAATCATGTTTTACCACTGCATTATCTCCTTTAGTTCCCCAACTAAAAAAATAAAATAGTAATAATATTTAATATTATCACTATTATAGAGTATTATATGAAGGAGTTATATAGATGGTTAAGAAACCTTACCTAACATCATGTACATTACAAAAAGCATAAACATTCAAAATGTTGATATAGAATGGAACCAATAATAAATATTGAATCAAACTATTAAACATATGCCAAGGTTCAAAAAACAAGAAACTGGCAGTGAAATATAATCCATAAGTAGAAATAACTGAAAGAATAATATTTTTAAATGTTGAATTTCCAAGAATAGCACCAGCTGTTGAAACATTAGCACCTGGATCTGCTACATCATTATTTAATTTTTGTATTTGCGCTGCAACCCCTTTATATGTTAACCATCCCGCTGCAAATAACATATAAACCATAAGTCCAGAAAAAAATGATATCGATGCAATATAAGCCCATTTAGATCTTTTTTTTTTAAAAGAATAATAAAAGATTAGTTAAGATGAATTAAAAATTAATTAAATATTTATTAATAAGAAATCATTATTATGATATATACCCTTGAGGTCTATTACCCATGGCTAATATAAATTGTATTATAAGAAGCGTTAAATATACGTATCGTAATATATTAAATATAATGTCGCCAGCAGTTTTAGACCATAAACCTTCAATAACTTCATCATCCGTAAGGGAATTACCCAAAATGTAAAAGGTTAAATAAAAATTACCCTACAAAATTATAATCAAAATAATAATTTAATAATAAATATATAAATATATATATAATATAAATAAGATGTATAATTTTTTACCAATCCCAACCAAGAGAACATTAAATTATATGCTTGATAAAACATTTCAATATGCAACAATATTTTTCTAAATTTAGAGTGACCACTTCTCCATATTGCAAAAGTATGACATATAGCATACACTCCAGCAAAGAAAGAACCATTCAACCAACGACGTCTTTGAGAAATCAATTCAGCTACTGTATCAGGTACATCTGTTTCAGCATAAGCTGACTTTATATATTGCAATAACCAGGCATCATCTCTTTTTGCAACTAATTCAAAACACAAAATACGATCTTCAGCAAGATACATATTGGCCGTAAAGATATCTGCATCACCTCCATGTTGAGATTCGCCCAAAAAATATGATTTCAAAGGACCTACTTGATTTTTATCATTCTGAAGAGCACGGTAGCGATATGCAGAAAATGCACCAGGTAATACAGTAATATAACCAAATACTGACTCAAGTGGTTTATCCAAAATATTTGACATCTTGTATTCAAAATTTTGTGATGCAACCAATGGATTTAATAAGTTAACTCCTGCACTGCCTGTCATAGCCTTAATTTCGCCACATGCACCACCAAGATTAGGATTGATGTCAAAAGCTTTCCACAAATGATAAATAGACGTGCTACCAGGTTTTGTACCAACATCAATTAAAACACATACTTGTGGATCTAATATTCTACCGAATGCATTGAAAAACCAGCGATGAGAATTGATTTTTTTTGCATTTTTTTCCTTCAAGCAAAAAAGGACTTGAATAGGAACTGAGCTCTCATCTCTCTTCTTAAATTTCATATCAGATCCAATAGAAAGTTGTGTGGTATACTCGTAAAGATGAGCAGTTACTTCTTTGCCATTGATCTGGTTCTTAGCCACTCCCTCCTGATAAACACCTAATGCCGCCAAATAAGATAAAGTTCGATGATTTATCTTAGTACGACCATCAGACACGATACAAACAACAACTTTTTTCCATCCGTCTTTTCCCCATGTACGAGAGCGTCCACGAGTACATAAATGATTTATATTTTTTTCAACTCCATGGAATGTACGTGCAAAAAGTACTTCATCTTCCTATTAAAAAAAAATATAAAAAAATATACATACATTATTGAATTAATTGAATTAATTAATCAACGACAAAACTTATGTTAAAAAATATGTGTGACTATAAAAAAATTAATTTTTACATACATTATACATAGTGAGTACAATAAATAACTCTGTTTGTCTTGGTGGGTCATAAAGTTGTTGACGAAGTGTATAACCTTCATTTTGAAAATTGTTGGGATCACAAGTACAAGGTGTATATCTCATTAATGAAAATTCTCCATCATTTCTTCTTTGAACCTCAGATAAAAGTTTCGTTGGAACTGGACAATCAAGAACCACTTTTCCTCGAAATAAATCAACTCTTTTAGTAGTTTTAAAACGACGTGGTTGTCTTACAGGAGCTTCACCATAATGAAGTGGTGTTTTTTCTTCTTCAAAATTAGTATTGCTGGCATTTGATTGAACTAATAAGGGTAGTGTGGCAGGGTCAGAAAAATTTGAAGTTGGTATACTTGGAGGATAAAGTGGAGGTTCTTGAAGAGGTCTTGGTATGTATCCACCATACTGTTGAGGGTTTGGTGGTGGTGGGTATCCTTGAGACATTATTACTTTTTTTTCAAATAGGTTCTTGAACTTGATTTTTTTAATTGATAAGTTTTTTTTATTTTTAAAAAAAAGGTAATATAAGGAATAAAAAAGACAATACCACCCAAGATAATAAAATTTTTTTGTGTTATCAATTACTATTTATAAAAAACGTCATACAAGTTCAAGACCCAAATTTGGAAAGAGTGCTCAAAAAATCTAACTAAAATTCAATAACAAAGATATAATAGGTCTGACAAAGCCATTGAATTATTAATAAATATTAACATATCAATTTGCAAATTTCCAAGTTAAAGTTTCGCCCGCCATAAAAGGAACAACAAATTGTTCATTCAAGTTTTGATCTAGATATGAATATTTTTCTGGAACTTTTACGGATGCCTTGATTAATTTAGTTTTCAAAAGTTTATCGTTATGTTCGATACCATAAAATTTCTTGCCATTTTCACATGCAAAATCATTTAATCTTGGAATTGCACCAAATGAATCTAATATTGTTGCAAGATAAGCTAAAGCCAAAGGTGTTGTAAATACACCTGCACATGATTGTGCACATTCTTTCAAATGAGCTGGATGTGGCGCTGAATCTGTTCCCAAGAAAAATCTTGGATGACCTGTATGAGAAAGTTATTTTTTAAAATGTTTTGTAATGATATATTTTTAAAAATTTCAACATTCTTACCTTCAAGAATCACATCACGTAATGCTTGGCGATCATGAGGATATTTTGCAACTGGTTTACAAAAATTATGGCATTTTCCTGCCCAATCATCCGCTACTAATTGAAGATGATGGATAGTAATTGTGCAGCCAACAGTATCTCCAAGAGATTTAACCTAATGATTGGTTAAATTAACCAGTTCTTTTTCAGTGATTTTCTGTTTAATTAATTAAAAATATCATAGTATATTTATCTTACGACGTCAACCGCAGCTTTAGTTGTTGCATGTTCCAAGACAATTTTTAGGTTTGGAAAATCTTGATGTAATTTTTGTAAGTGAACCAAAAACTTTTCTTCTGCATTTAAAACGCATACATCCTAGTCATAAATATTGTTTAGATTTCTTTTTATTGTTGTCGTCGTCGTTGTTGTTGTTGTTTGTAATTTTTTTTTATTTGAACTTAAAGCATGAAATATTCAAACCTGATCTGGGTCACTAGGGAGTTCACCATGAAGATTTAAGATCATTCCTTCTTCTTCCATAGCTTTGAATACTTGATAATAATTCGTATATGATTCAATTCCTGAATCTGAATTAGTTGTAACACCTCTAGGATACGATTTAACACCTAAGATTACAATTAAACATTAAATCATTCAGCCAATATCAATAAAATGATGTTTTAAAAAGTGATGATGAATAAATGCATGCCAACAATTCCATGTGCTTTAGCTTTTCTTATTTCTTCAGGTGTCAATTCCGGACAAAGGTATAGACTCATAAGAAAGGTGATATTAGGTGCCAACTCTTGAAGTTTGCCTTTATATGTTAAAGCTTGTTCTGTTGAGGTAATTGGTGGTTTTAAATTTGGCTATTATTAAACAAGAAAAGTTTATTAACATGTTATGATTTTTTTTAAATGTTATTAAAAGTACATCACCATAACATAACACAATGAAACACCTCCTTCAGCCACAAGAGGAACGACCAATTTCATTAAGGCATCTTGTCGTAAATGAATATGAAAATCACAGGCTGAGGTAATATTGAGTGCATTTAACATTTCTAAAAAATTTTCTATATACCAAAAAAAAAAAGAATAGACGTTTCACGAACTTCACAATAAAGGTAATCTGCGATCTGTGAAGCGCGTTAATATTAATATTAATAAATTGTAATTTTTTCTCCTTTTAATAAAAAATATGAACGATCCTTTTGTATCCTTTTGTAAGCGTAGATTTGAGAATACAAAAATCCATGTCAAAGAAAAATGGCTCTCTGGTTCTATTCAAAAAATTTGTTCCAATGAATCCAGCAATGATACTTATAGTGAATTATATACTAAAATTTATAAAAAATTCTTGAAATCAAATCTAAAGGATTCCCTTCACTCCACTATACCACAAAATATTGTTGACACACATCTTACAATACTCGATGAAGGCAAACCAGCAATTTTACAAATAATCGACATTGTAGAAATTGGAGTTTCAACACAAAAATTATATGATATGTTAAATAGTTATTTATCCGGTTCGTTAAAACAAGGCCATAAATACAAAGATGTTAGTAAACAATTTAAGAATAATGTTCAAGATGTACAGCTTCCACGTTCTATTCTCAAGTTAACTTTGACTGATGGGAATCAAATTTTCGATGCAATAGAATGCAGTCCTATAAAAGATTTAAATTTATTTACACCTATTGGAACAAAGGTACATCAATATACATGTGTGCGAATATTTTTAAACAAATTTATTTGTTATATTTTTTAATTATATTCATTGTTATCTTGTTACAAATAATAAGATATCTGTAAATAAAACACAGATATTAAGAGGTTTCTTGTGTCTTAAACCAGATAATATAAATGTTTTAGGTGGATTTGAAACTATAGATCAATACAAATATTTAAATGTATTACTTGAAAAATTAAAAAGACAACTAGATGAAAAGAAAACAGGAGGAACTTCAAGGATTAATTGTTCTGACCATCGTAACTCAATATCACAATCAGAAATCCAAGATCTTAATGTCAATGAACCAATAGAAACTTTTCAAAAAAATCAAAAATCAAAACCTGATTATAATATTGATCAAATCGATTATGTTTCTTCGACACCAATGTTACTAGAACCAAAAGATCAAGATTTCAACGATCAAAAACATGATCCTGAATTTTTGCCTATGAATAATAGACTTGATGATTACGATAACAATCACAACTACGTTTCCTCAACAAAAATGTCAATGAAACCAGAAGACCAAGACCTTGATGACAATAATCCGAATGAATATTGGCAACACAATGAACCCGAGGCTTGGTCTAAAAATAATCATCCAGATTATATTAATAATAACGATCCAACGCCACTACCAATAAAACTAGAAGAGCAAGACTTTAATGACAATAATACGAATGAATATTGGCAACACAATGAACCCGAGGCTTGGTCTAAAAATAATCATCCAGATTATATTAATAATAACGAT